TGACACAATCACCGAATAGGATGGTCGACTGATCGCAAAACCATTCTAATTTCTAATTCGACCATTAAGGTCAATACGGCTAACAATTTTTTAAAATTTTTTCAAGATGATCTGAATTTGGGTGTAAGTCGAACGAAAGTTCTTGGAGTCTAATTCATGTCAAACAGAAGGAAAGTAAATAAACACCTGAAACATCACGGATCTTTTTATGGTGCTATGCTTTCAGCTGCTATTCGTCAGTTTTCGTGCAATTTTTGTCATCTCTCTCCTTGGATGTTGTAATCGGTAGGATTGGTTAAAGTTAAGGAATGATGGTTAGGGATGACTAGGAATTCACTATGATTTAATGATTTGCTTATGTGAATCTCGCTATATCATGTTGATTGACAAGTAGTCACTACGGTAGGTACTGTTAATAGGTCGGAATGATTTCTTCTTTCAAGAACGTCCTGGATCGAAACAGATCAAACCTTTAGGTCATATCAGGCATCGAATATATTATTCATTTGTTAAAATATAACTGAAAATAGAAACCGTCAGTCCAAGTAAAAAAAACACAAAAAAATCCTTAATGATTGCACCCATTAAGTAGCGGAGAGACAGAGACTATTTAGCCCAGTAATTATTTAATTAATTAGATGACGATTAAAAGCAAAAGCACTTTTAATATTTCATTGGCATTGATTTAATAATTCAGTCGAAGGTTCGGGACGTTCGCATCCCGCTCCATTAACACTTCTTTTTCACTTTGTTTAGACATAATCGGTTTTAAAGAAAAATTGTCAATAGGGATTTAGTAATAAGCTCGAGGTTTTTTAATGAGATTGAGAAAATGATACCATTACCTGATCATTGGAAGGATACGGTTTGAATACATACTTTGGGGAAGCGGGTGGCCGCAACGGTTTAGGCCGCTGGATTCGAACCCGGGACCTTTACCTTACAGTGATGAGCGCCGTGTCAACGCCTAAAGGTGGCCATTCACGATCGCTCCAAATGGAACTGCGTCAAACAGTACAGCTCCATTTGGAGTGCCTGAAATTTGAGGGGGCATTCACGACCGCTCCACAGCCAGTCGCTCCGAACGTCAACCAGTGAATTACCTTCTCAAAATGGATGACGATCTCTTGTGCTACGCTTCTGTTTATATTAAAAGCAAAAAATCGAAGAGGAAATGGTGTAAGAAGTGGCTGCTGAACAGAAGCCGCAATACCCATATCAATTTGATGAAAGATCTTTCCCTTGAACCCGCTGATTGGAGGAACTATTTAAGGATGGATGAAACGTCTTATTCATTATATTTGGTGTTCTATTGATCAAATTACTCTTTCAATTAATTAATCTTTTTTTGTAAGGTTTTGGTTGAAATGAAAAAGCTAGTGCCACGAGGGTGATCTGAATCCATGGCCTTCGGCTGAATACGCCGCTGCTCGACCACTTGAGCTATCGTGACTTCAATCCTCTCCGACACTAAAAAATAGCAAAAAGAGAGAAAATTCGAAAGGTTGTAGGTTGAGATGGGGAGTTGGTGTCCGAGTGGATCGAACTATCGAAGTAACGATGTCGTGGATTCGAATCCCCTCGTGACACTATTTTTTAAACACTATTAAAAAAAAAAGATTAACGCCTTATTTATATTTACTCCAGCTTGTTACCCCCTTAATTAGAAAACAAAAGACAGCCATTAGAGAAATCATCACTACATGAAAGATTGGCAACCACATTACGATTTTTCGCTACAGGGATGAACTACAAAGAACTTAAGTTCTCTACTACAATTAATTAAGGTTTTTAGTTGAGATGAAAAAAAGTTAATGGCACGAGCGGGATTCGAACCCACTATCTTCGGCTAGATACGCCGCTGCTCTACCACTTGAGCTATCGTGACCTCGATCCACTCTGACATCCATTTCCTATCTCAACCCCACCTTATGAGTTTTCCCTCCTTACGTTCTCTACTACGATTTCTGATCATTGTTAGGGGTTATCAATTCTGCATCTCTCGTTGCATTTGTATCTTTGTTTTGAAAACGTCCACCAACTAGTTGAGGATCGAATTTCTTTTATTTCTATCGTGGTAATCATTGTCCATCACTTTCCATAAACATAAACTTTCATACAATTCAATCAGCTCAACAATAAAATCTCGATTGGATGTCTACCTATAAAGAATAAACGTTTTGACTTTTTGAGAATGTACGACGGAGACTGCGCCCAAAAAAAAACAACGCGGTTTTCCTTTCACGACTAAGCTAGCGCTCCAATATTCCACCGTTCACGCCAGGTTTTCCCATTCACGGACGCGCCATGCCGTCGTCGCGCCGTAGATATTTGGAGTGGCGCGATGGAGTTTGGACCGGTCGAATATTCGGCACAGCCGAGCACGCCAGTTCAGTTTTGCCATTGACGTGGTTTTTTGCACGGCGTAGCTCCGTTTGTACTGCTAGGAGCGATCGTGAATGGCCACCACCGTTGCGGCCACCGACATCCCTCAACAACCATGTTATATTGTTTACTTTATTATTATTGTTTTAAAAATATATCGAAGATTTGTTTACAATAAATTTCTGTTATCATTCGTCTTGCTTTTGATCATCATTTTCAAATAAAGATGTTGGGAGAATCGGTCTTAGATATATTTGACAAAAAAAAGCTGTAGTTATAAACTTTGTAATAAATATTTAAAAATGTTAGGTAAAGTGATCTAGGGTTGAAATGAATCGATAAATCTTCATATCGCTGATTGAACGTCTGTCGAGACTATTCCCAACATTGTTGAAGACGATCTGAAACAGAATAGCCCCTGGGGTACTCCTGAGTCAATAAAAGCGAGATCAGATTGTTTCGTTACCCAAAGATACTCTTGTACTGCTAGGATTAACAATAGTGAATATAAAAATTCCGACCTAACTGCATTTTTTAGCATAAATAAAAGATCTGTATTTTTAGCCCCTAACAGTCTTCACTGGTTGTTGTTGCTATTTAAAATCCATTAAAATTGACAGAATGGTGATCCAATCTGCGACTTTTTGTTTTTAAAAGGAATTTCGAATAATCATTTATTTAATCGTACGGTGAGTTTTCAGTATCGTTCAATATTGGTTAAACTAGTGCCTTTAAGTCTATAGTCGGGATCACGGAACAATATGATTTATGAGCATAGGGAAATGGACTGCGAATGGCAAGCAACTGTAACATTGTTAGTCGTTCATGATGATTTTGTTTTCTCATCCGTTATGGTTCTGTTTTTCGAGTATCCTGGCCCACCACTGGGACAGATCTGTTACATGGAATGAAAATGAAATCTTAAAGCAGAAATTGGACCGCTTTGACGATAGTGCACAACGGTATATCGATGTCCTGGCGGTTCTTCTGAAGAATGGAAAACTCCGGCTATTTCTTAAGCAGTTTGTTAAATCTATGCACATCCATCGGTACAGTATCAGCAAAACGCAAGTTTTGAAAGTTAAAACTTTTGCCTTGCATTGTTTCATCTGCAGTCGTTTATGCTTCAGCATAAGGGTTCTTAGCCAAAATGCCACCAAGGGCTGTCAAAACTGCCCTTTTTATTTTCAGGGAGTACAATATAACAACACCTGCAATATTAATGCAGAAAAGTACTGTTATTTTGTATTGAAAAGTATTGTGACTCTAAATGACGGAGAAACGGATGACTTAACGATGCTTGAATTCCTGCGACGGTCCCCAGGACTACCTCACCCATCAAATTTTAATTATTTAACGTCCTCACGATCATTAATTTCTACTTTTGATAATTTTTCGAACAAATTTGAGGACAGGGGTTTTGTTTAAGCCTTCAAGAACAAAAATCCGTGGAAGGATTCGTCCGTATTTCATCGGCATTTCGGGTGTTCACAATTATATATAAGTCCAGTATATTTCGTGGTCCTATTGACCCAAACTTCTATTCAATTAATTAATCTTTATGAAAGGTATTGGTTAAGATAAAAAGGTGTCACGAGCAGGATTCGAACCCACGATCTATTGAGCTATTGTAACTTCCATCCACTCGGACACCAACTTCCCATCTCAACCCACTTTTTTTAAATTTTCCCTCCTCGATAGTTCAAGTGGTAGAGCAGCAGCGTTTTTAGCCGAAGGCCGTGGGTTCGAATCCCTACCTTGCGAATTTTCCTTCCTTTTTGCCATTTATCAAATGTCGTGTAATGATTCGATTCTCGGCGTTCTGAAGGAAAATTCGCAAGGTAGGTTGAGATGGGAAGTTGGTGTCCGAGTGGATCGAAGTCACGTTAGCTCAAGTGGTAGAGCAGGGGCATATTTAACCGAAGGTAGTGGGTTCGAATCCCGCTCGTGACGCTAACTTTTTCATTTCAACCACCACCTTACATAAAGATTATATGTAGTTTTTTGTTCTTTTTTGACGAGGGTTCGCAACAGCAGAAGTCATATAAACCCTCATGGTGCTGGTGTTTTTGAAAAAAAGCCCATTTGTAAGTATGTCGCGTTCGAATGCCTGGCCGCTGGATTCGAACCCGGGACCTTTTCGTTACAATGATGAACGTCGTGTCAACGCCTAAACCGTTGCGGCCACCGACGCCCAAGATTATATATGATTTTGATTCTGACTAGTTTCTTCTTTTTTAATATTTTTTTTATATCATTGTTATTTGTTTAGTATGTTATTTATAGTGTATTTCTTGACTGTTGGGTTTTGGGAAGTAACAAAGGTAAATATAATAAATACAATCCTCTTATATCGAAGCTTTTACAAAAGGATCAAGAGCGGTCTTATCTTCCGCATTTATAACGCTCCTTATTGATTCGGGCTTCGGAGTAATTTCGTTGTTTCATTTTCTTTACGTCCCATAAATTCTTCCGGTTATGATATAAAAGATTTTTATTACTGGCCGTGTGTATCCTCGGGGAAAATTCCTCCGATGTAACGCTACGAAATAATTCCCATACGACGTACCCGGGGGCGATATTTTAAAAAGGCAGTTGATATCTAAAATTCTTACCAGAATGGCCATCACACATCCACTCTCGACAACACTGGCCTGGGATTTCTACAAGCCTTGGATGCATGCATGAAATTCCCAACGGAGATATGTTCTCTTTGGGGCAGAGCGAGGCACAGGCGTACCTCCCATTCTGAAACAAGACGACAACAATTTTAATAAATAGATCTACTTCATTTTTTAAATAAAAAAATACAAGAACAATTTAATTTTAGAGTTTTTTTTATATCTAGCTGAATCACTTTCGACATCCTTCAAAATCGTATTATAGAATTTGATTACATAACAGCCAGCTCACGAAACCTCATTCCGGAATAATCCGGATAGGATAAAATAATTCATTTTGGACGTAAACATTTTTTATAAAGAGATTTTCCTTTTTTCCTGTATGAAATGATAAAATTCATGTTAACGAAAATTAGGCTTTGATCCTGCGGTCGTTGCCCTGCGACCAAATGGACCAAATTTTCCCAGATTCAAGTGAAGCGTTATGTCTAAATACTTAATTGTAATTACACTTTTTAGACTCTAAAATAAATAATTTCGTTTGTTTATGAACAGAATTGAAAAAATTGATTTTAGAACTTATTAAGTTCTCATCTGAAAGCTTTTTCAACAAAAATATACGCACAAACGGACTCGTATTTGCTACGTTAGCGGTTCTGGATTCGAATGGCAATGCTGAATTGTCAAATTTGTTTAACCTTTCTTTTTCATACCATTCCAATGTTTTCCATTCTCCGAACGGATTTATAATCCTTAGAACCATAGAATTCACGCTAATACGTTTATAATAATGATTATTCGAGCTCATGAGAGTCGGTCTGGTATGACGTAGGTTTTAGAAAAATCTTTTCTTTATCGTGCCAACGTTTCGATCTTTATTGAGATCATCTTCAGGTCCTGGGATGTATAAACATTGTTTCAATTTTAAAATAAATGTGGGATGTGGAAAAAATATGAATTTATACAATGCTAGATAATTTTAGATGAAAAAATTGAATTTATACAACGCTAGATAATTTAGATAAAAAAAAAATGAATTTATGCAATGCTAGAAAATTTTAGATTAAAAAAATGATTATATACAATGCTAGAAAATTTTAGATTAAAAAAATTGAATTTATACAATGCTAGAAAATTTTACATAAAAATGAATTTATATAATGCTAGAAAATTTTAGATAAAAAAATGAATTTGTATAATGCTAGAAAATTTTAGATTAAAAAAAAGAACTTTGAATGAAACTAAAATTTTCTAGCATTGTATAAATTCAATTTTGTTTTAATCTAAAATTTTCTAGCATTGTATAAATTCATATTTTTTCCACTTCTTACATGTATTTGTAAAATTCAAAAAATTTGTAGAGATTAGTGACCGTTAATCTATAGTTATTCAGATATCGTGAGATGCGGTCGGGAGTGATGTAGGTATCAGAAAAACATTTTCTTTATCGTGCCAACGTTTCGATCTTTTATTGAGATCATCTTCAGGGCTCAAGTGTTTGTCTTCTGTGTAATTGTGCCATCCTTGTGTGTCGTGTTGAGAGTGAAGATGATCTCAATAAAAGATCGAAACGTTGGCACGATAAAGAAAATGTTTTTCTGATACCTACATCACTCCCGACCGCATCTCACGATATCTGAATAACTATTCAAAAAATTTTTGACTATACACTGCATACCTTCCTCACTGATGTATAGGTAGAACAGCAATGGATTTAGTGGGCAGCCTTGCTTTACTCCGTACCTCACCTCAATCTATGTTTTTTAAAAATAAATATCAGACGGAGAAAATGAACTTGGAAGGATTGAACATTTTATGGATTAAGATTTTGGCCTCCTTGACGATTTCATAGAAGTTTTAATAATTCAATTGATTCCCCAAAGATCCGATTACAGCTTTAAAAGCTATGTTATTATTAATGTATTGATTTATACAATGCTAGAAAATTTTAGATTAAAAAAAGAACTGAATGAATCTAAAATTTTCTAGCATTGTATAAATTCATTTTTTTATCTAAAATTTTTTTCTAGCATTGTGTAAATTCATTTTTTTAATCTAAAATTTTCTACCATTGTATAAATTCAATTTTCTTTTAATCTAACATTTTCTAGCATTGTATAAATTCATATTTTTTTCCATTTCTTACATGTATTTGTAAAATTAAACAATGTTTATAAATCCCAGGCCCTGAAGATGATTTCAATAAAGATCGAAACGTTGGCACGATAAAAAAAATGTTTTTTTAAAACCTACGTCACACCAGATCGCACCTCACGATCTCCGAATAATCATTGACTAACGTCACTAAACACTACACACACGTTTAGAATAATTTTAAATTTTATTCCATTAACATTTTTCAGAACTATTTAATTAATAGACAAGTGAGGGTTAAAATTGCGGATTACTTCAGTGATCTTTTCAAAATTAATAGTGGATTTCCTCAGAGTAATGTTCTTGGGCCTCTCTTCTAAAATATTTATGTGAACGATATGAACAAAGCAATTGTGCGGACATGATGCTTTTTTATGCAAATGACTGCTATCTCAAAAGCTCAATAATTATTGAATAGATTACTATTTCGGTCTCATGATCAAATTTAGTAATACATCCTGAGATACCGGATTTTCTCTTCTGTGTTTGTTTTATGTCATTCATGCTCATGTTTAACACATAACAGATCCAAATGCTATGACATGTGACTGCCCTTCCAAACGTGGTAAACGAAATGACGTCTGACTCTGCTACCTACATGTACATTGATTTAATTAAACTAACTTTTATTTTACTTCACTTAAGTTACAAGTCTTGTAAACTAATTAGCGTGAATTAATCATAAATTAAGAAAGAAATTAATCATAAATTAAGAATTATCATAAGAATCATAAATCCGCCCACGAAACGGAATGGTATATAAATGAGATTAGATAAATTTGACAATTCAGCTGTTTTTGGATTCTTTTCATAATATTTTAGGTTATATTTAACTTTAAGCCAAAATTTCAGTGAAAATATTTTACGCAAATATCGTTTTAAGCATCTCAAAGAACCAGAGATCAAGCAACTGGCTGAAACATGACTAATAGCCGTCGATCTCAATGGAATATATTTTAAATATTAATTTTATTTTGTGTTAAATTAATTAAAATATTAATTGTTTGTGTGATTTCTTCTTGGGTGTATGAGATGATGAAACAGTTTGGTCGTTTCTAATAATTTTAGTTTTTCTATCATCATTATTTTGGCTTGTTATTTGGTTGTTTCACATGAAATTTCCATTTGCAAGGTAAAGGTTTTTTTAAATAAAATTAGTATATAAAAACAAAATCATTTTATTCGAAGTATTTACCTGCATTTTCTACACATTTTTTCCAAAGCGTGACCCACCTTATAACGCCGAAATTGAAGAATTCTGAGCTTTGAAATGAAATAAAATCTGAAAACGCTTTTTGGACTTGAACGTCATTTTCAAACATTTTTCCTTTCACGAAGGACAACATTCCTAATTCCTAAACAGGTGAAAATCTGATGTTTGTTGATCGACCTGCAGATAATCTATGTAGAGTTTCAATCTTCGTAGAGGTCATTAGACAGGTGAAGAAAGAAGAAGACTAATTGTTGGGTTCACCAAGCTTTCGGCAACTTATAGTGCCATCATCAGGGCCTATTCATTCAAAATTAAAATAAATAAATTATATAAAAATTATTTTAATTTTGAATAAATAGGCCCTGATGATGGCACTATAAGTTGCCAAAAGCTTATTGAACACAACAATTAGTCTTCTTCTTTCTTTACCTATCTAATGACCTATAGGAAGATTGAAACTCTACACAGGTGAAAATCTTTAGGAGACAAATCTCGAGAATAAAGTGGATACTGATGAACTTCGTAGCCGAGGTCTTTAATTTGTTTATAGTATGTTTTGAAAGTTAAGGCCTGGCGTTGTCGTGGAGGACAATGCAGGTTGTTTTTTTAATGCATTTCGTCAATTTCCTTACAGTATGATGTACAGGTAACGGTCTCACCTCTAGGCAAAAAGGAGTACTGAATAATTCCAGCCATGGACCACCATACGGTCACCATAAATTTTTTTGGGTGTAGGTTTTGGCACGTGTCCTGGTCTTACGTCGATGTTTAACCACTGCCCTGACTGACGCTGATTGTCATACGCAATCCATTTTTCATCTCTAGTGATTATTCTATCAAGAAAAGGGTATGTTTTTTGACTGGGGAGCAACGAAACGCATGTTTCAAGGCGCTTTAACTGCTGACGCTCAGTGAGCTCATGAGAGACCCATAGATCAAGCTTTTTGACTTTTCCTATGTTCCTTAATTGTCTTAACACGGTAGCTGCACTTGCATTTAGTTGTGCTGCGAGTCCTCTGCCTGTTTGATAGTGGTTTTCTTCCATCTGAAGCTTAACGACATTGTCAATTAAAGTTGGAGGTCTTCCGAGAGGGCTCGTTTTCCAATTCGGTATTTATTTCTGAAAACTTAGCAAACCAACGGCGAATTCATTTAAACTCACTTCGCCAAACGCCTTATTGATGTTTCTTGCAGCTTCTGGCGAATGACCGAGTTTACCTTGTAGTGCCTCGTAAAGGAATATTACACGAAAATCTTGTGTTTCCATGTTCATATTTGTAGGTATACTAAAAAGTGTGTAATAGATTGGGGAGCTCATCATTATAAACAAAAGTGGAGGATTAATAACTGCTTAATTATAATGTGTAAACAATTGGGAGTAAACAACAGAAAACCGCTATATCCTCTCTGAATTTCTGAAACTATAGAAACTATAAAATCAGACATTTCATGTGAAACAACCCAATAGAATTATTTCAGCTTCTTGCTATTTTTAATGAGTGTTTATATTATTTTTTTTTAAACCGTCATTTTTGTACTGTATGCTATAATTTTTTTTTAAATTTTTAAACATTATGAATTTTATTAAGTTCAACGAGATTGAAGTTATTGTTGACAAATGTATGAAACAAACAAACCAGCATAAGGATATTCATGGGATTTTAATTCAACTCGGCCTGATTGTTTTGTACTGGTTTGAAAAAAAAAGTTGTTTTCTTGCGGGGAAAAGGCCGCCTCCTGTTTCTGAAGAATAATTACTC